GCAGCACTGATGGGTGTCACTGCTGGGCACTGGTGGGTGTCACTGCTGGGCACTGGTGGGCACAGGTGGGTGGCGCTGCTGGGTACTCATGGGTTGCACTGGTAGGAGGCACTGCTGGGCACTGATCATCAGTGCCCTGATGATCAGTGCTGATCTGTTCTCTGACAATTTCCGGTTATCGGCAGTAATTTCCTCACGCTGTGACTGCATGAGGATAGTGCAGCTGATACCCGGCAACTGTATTTACCCGGTGATCTACTGTGTCATTGGACACAGCTGATCACGTGGTAAAAGGCCGCTGTGATTGGCCTTTTACCACATCACGTGATCAGCTGTGTCCATAGGACATAGCTATCACGGAGATCGCGGGTGCGTGCTGCTGCTGGGAGCACGCGGGAGGACACGTTCTGGGAGGACGTCATAGGACGCTCTCCCAGAACTGGACAACCACGCTGTGGCCATCATTCGTCTATAGCAGGTTTGTCAAGTGGTTAAAAGAGACCCTAATTTATTTATGAATACTTGTAAGAGTCAGTAATTACAATTAGGCCTGGTTCACACACAGATGCGGCCTGAGACACACAATTGCATTACAATGGAAATCCCATTATTCTCTATGGTGCCTGTTTTATCAATGCAGCACAGCATGGTGTGTTTTTGGAAAAGGGTCCTGTGCTACTTTGGAGTGATGCAGCTGCATATTTCATCCATAGACTTCAAAATAAAAACACACCAAAAACGAATGTACATGCATTTTTATATGTTTTTGCAAGTTGTTAAGCTGGAAACCAACGGAGTCCTAATAAACAACTACTCATTCCTGTTGTCAGCCAGGGATTCCCTGATACCAGGGATCGAGTCATTGGTTGTTCAGGAGGTGGAACCCACCGGCATCCGAATAACCAATGACTCATCCCTGCTGTCAGCTGGGGAGTCATTAGTTGTTAAGGAGGTGGCAACTGCCGGCGTCCTAATTACCGTACTAATGACTCATTCTTGCTGTCAGCCAGCTGTCCTAGCTGACAACAGATTGTTAACAAAGGACAGACAAATGTAAGAAAAATGGTCCACAATCCCTTTGGGTCTGGTATGGATTTTAGAGGGGACCCCATGCCAAGAAACAAATGGTGTGGGACCCCAAAAATCCATACCAGACCCTTACTACCCATGATTGTGAAAATTATAGAGGCATTAGGGAGCCTTTCTTGCATCATTAAGTCACCTCCGGTACCTCCGCAGGAGCATCCCTGACATACTAACCAAAGGACTACTGCTTGCACTTGCATGCAAGCCTATGTACAATTTAATTTTAATTGTAAGAGGAATGTTTAATAAACACTATGGGCAATTGCTCTCTGGTTACTTCTACATATTTTTTTTGATGGAATGGAGGCATAAAGAGTGAAAAAGGATACAGCACTGGTGGAGCACATACATTTAGAGGAAAGTGGTGTTAATAAAGCAGCAATAACCCACTTTTTGCAAAGGTGACCTGGAATTTCGGTAAGTGGAGTCCTATAGGACACAGTGTTTAAGAAGAAATTGACAAATGGCACTATACATTTGGAGCACTAAACATGAAAGAACTGCACTAATCAAAGCACTTTGCATAATCAATTTCACAATTGTGAATATTTGATGACAAGTACATGTATAGCATTGTACACTTTGTTTTTCAGTATATCAAGGGAAGTGTAATAGACCACATATACACAAAAATAATGATAAGGGTTCACGTGGCACACATGCGGGTGATGGGGGAAGTGTTTGTAGTACACGTTGGTAATATAATAGCAAGCAGGGGCGGACTGACCATTTGAAACTCGGGCACTGCCCGAGGGCCCGGGGTCAGTAGGGGGCCCCACGAGATGCTCCTGGTACCTTTTTCATAGACTTTTTTGAGTTTGGGCAAGGACACAGGGGCCCCACGATCCCCTATTGCCCGGGGGCCCCATGAGTTGTCAGTCCGCCCCAGATAGCAAGTCAAAACGTGTACAACTATAATACCCACACACTTAAGAAGGCATTAGAAACACATGTGAGGCGTGGGAGGTGTATTGTAGCGCTACACCAAAAGATAGAATAGAGTACTATTTATGCCCCTGAATCAGGGAGATAAAAGTTGGTGTTTTAGCAGCTGCTCTTTTATACACCCGAGCATTCTCCATTAGTGCAATATATATAATTTATTATTCAATTGCTTTTCAAAAGTTGCAAATAATTAAAGGATAACTCCACTTTCATGGGAAAAAAAACATATACAATTGCTACACAAGCCATAATGTAACTGAATGCTATTAAAAATGCCTTTTAAATCTGCAGCACTGTAAATTTCTGGAAAATTCAATGCAATATGGCAACCTGGAGGCCAATGGTGTACGGAATGCCTACAAAAATTTTAATTCCTACTCGTTTGATTGGCTCCCTGACTTTTACAGTAGTTGGCACTAAGATACAAGTCGGATTTTAGGCATCCTCTGCAAATAAAATTTTATTTTTTGTGAGGTACTTCCAAATTGTTAATCCTGTCTAAAGAGATTCAAACACTGCAATTTTACACATTAGAACACTACAAGTGCATCAGCTGATTGATAAGTAAAAATGTCACTCCAATTCAGATTCACTATGCACATCAACATAGACAACAAACCGCTTTTTCTTCAGACCAGGTAGGACTCTGCAACAAAATTTTTAAAAATCTTTGCAATATACATAGATACACCCAGAGGTTGTTTTCTTCTCAACAAAAGTGGAGTTACTATTTAAGTTGGCCAAGCAGTAATGACAGCAGCTTTTACCAATGTCTAAAATGCATCTTTTACCAATATCAAATACCCAACATGGACCGACATTTTACTAAATACATAACAATAAAATATTCTAAACAAGATTAGCTCTTGTGTACAGACTTTATTCTTTTTTTTTCATAATAGTTGTATAGACCTTTTGGTTTGCTTGTCTTGAATACATAGGTGGTCACACATACTAATAAATGGATAAAGATCTGTTCATTTATTGGGTATATAAGATGAAAACATTAGATAAGGAGGCTCTTTACAATACAGTCTAGAGGTACATGGCTTGGTGCCTAGCAGGCTTGCTAGTGCTCCACTTGTAAAATGCTTAAAATTGATGCACCTGCATACTATTTTCATAGAATCTCATTAAATGTTTAATAGGACTGTCGAGTACTGTTGTGAACAAGGTCACTTGCAGGTTTGTTAACTGTTCTTGATTGGGAACATTTTACAAAGTGTTGCTAACACAACACAGAGGATATAGGACGATTGAGTTTTTGACACTAGCCATTCACCTTTATTAGAGAGTTTTGATTTAGCCAGGGGTAAGGATTTTGGTGGCCTTTTTGTATTTACATAACAACAGCTGAAACAGAAACTAGATAGATATTTCTTATTTTAATAAAAGGTTATTTAATTTTGTTTTACTGGGTACAGTTGTGCATATATTATATAACATAACACAAATATAATTTGAGGAGGTGTGAACATTAAAACAAAACCAGGCCTGAAAGTAAGATAGAAATACTTGTTCCAATAAATACAGTTTAGAGAACATAGTAGTTCCCAGCTGCTATCCTGATGTAATCTGTGGCTCTTCACCGTCAGCTTAACCACTTGCCCTCCTGAGGATTTACCCCCCTTCCTTACCAGGCCATTTTTTTTACGTTACAGCATTGCGTTACTTTAACTGACAATTGAGCGGTCATGCAATGCTCCACCCAAATTAAATTTATGTCCTTTTTTTAATTGAGCTGTCTTTTGGTGGTATTTGATTGCCTGTGCGTTTTTTATTTTTTGCGCTATAAGCAAAAAAAGACCCACAATTTTGAGAAAAAAACTATATTTTGGACTTTTTGCTATTAAACATGTCCAGTAAAAAATTTTAAAAATGTAATATTGTCTTAAATTTAGGCCAAAATGTATCCTGCGACATGTATCCGCTAAAAAAAATCCCAATACATGTAAATTAATTGGTTTACGTGAAAGTTATAGCGTTTACAAATGGCAGTATAGATAATGGGATTTATTTTTTTTCTACTAGTAATGGCAGCGATCAGAGGCTTTTAGCGGCACATTCTGACACTGGAGAGGAACTAACTTGGTGTCACCGACACCCCAGTGACACCAATACAGTGATCAGTACTAAAAAAAAGCACAGACACTATACTAATGGCACTGGGCAGGAAGGGGTTAATGTGAGGGGCAATCAAAGGGTTAACTGTGTGCTGGGAGTGTTTTACAGGGGGGGGAGTGTTCTTCACTGTAAGCACACTGATCGGGATGGCTGTACTGTTCACAGCCACCCCGAGCAGTGTGCTCGAGCTGACAGGGAGGAAGATTGTTTGTAAACAAAACAATCTTCCTCCCCATTGGTGATCGCCAGTAATCACCGGGTGCCGGCAGGTAATTACTGGCCAGGACCCGGTGATTGACATCCGTGGCCGTGAATGCCAGCGCGGGTAGGGCGTGCGTGCCCCCTACCCGGAAATGCAAGATGACGTATATATATGTGATTCTGTACAGAGGTGCTGCCCTGTAACAGTATTTCTGCTATAGGGTGGTCCTTAAGCGATTAACTGCCTCCCGCCCGCCATATAGTACAATGACGGGCGCAAGGCAGTATTCTCGTTCTGGGAGGACTTCATATGACGTCCTCCCATTCTAACCGCGCATGCGCGGCTCTGGGAGCGCGCAGCGCGGCAATACGTGGTGCGCTGTGTCCCTCGGACACAGCAGATCACCGATCAATGGAAAGAGCCGAAGATGTCGGCTTGGTCATGTGATCAGCTGTGTCAAATCACAGCTGATCACATGTAAACAGGGAAATGCCAGTTATCAGCATGTCTCTCCTCACGAGCTGTCACGCTGACAGCTCGAGAGGAGAGGAGAGCCGGTAATCGGCATTCTTCAGAGGGAACATGTACACTGATCATCAGAGCACTGATGATCAGTGTGCCCTGATGATTTGTGTAGCCCTAGCAGTGCCACCTGTCAGTGTCCATCAGTGCCAGCTGTCAGTGCTCATCCATGCCATCTGCCAGTTCCCATCAGTGCAACATCAGTGCCACATTTCAGTGCCTACCAGTGCACATCAATGCCACATATCAGTGCCCATCTGAGCTGCCTTTCAGTGTCACCCATCAGTGCCAGTCAGTGCCACCTATCAATGCCAGTCAGTGCCACCTATCAGTGCTGCCAATCAGTGCCACCTATCAGTGTCGCTTTTCAGTGCCAGTCAGTGCCACCTATCAGTGTGCTTCAGTGCCTCCTATCAGTGCCTGTCAGTGCTGCCTAACAGTGCCAGTCAGTGCCGTCTAGCAGTGCCGCCTATCAGTACCATATATGAGTGCTGCCTTTCAGTGCCCATCAGTGATGCCTGTCAATGCCCATCAGTGCCAACTACCAGTGCCTCCTCATCAGTGCCCATAAGTGCCACCTATCAGTGTCCATCAGTGCAGCCTATCAGTGCCCATCACTGCAGCCTCATTTGCACACATCAGTGAAGGAGAAAAATCACTTATTTACAAAATTTTATAACAAAAACTAAGAAAAAACTTTTCAGTGGTTTTTGGTTTGTTTAAAAAAAAGTAAAAAAAAACAGAGGTGATTAAATATGACCAAAATAAAGCTATATCTGTCACAAAAAATTTATAAAAATGTCATATGGGTACAGTGTTGCATGACTGCGCAATTGTCATTCAAAGTGTGACAGCGCTGAAAGCTGAAAATTGGCCTGGGCAGGAAGGGGGTGTAAGTGCCCTGTAGGCTAGTGGTTAAAGGATAAGTTCACCTTTGGGAGCATGTTACATGTTCCACCCGTGTTTAGGGTGGAAAATGTAACATGTTCTCAACACTGCAGCCACTACCCACTGCCCCTCTCTCCCTATGGCAGAAGTACGGAGAGAAGTTCCCTGTACTAGCTATGAGTTTTTAAAAACAGCGTGGCCATGCGGGGCTCCAAACACTTGGCCGCATCATTCATTCACAGTGTTATATGAATGAATGGACTACAAGTTCCAACAGCCTTAGCGACTGTCAGCTTCTAGTCCTCAGTAAACTACCACGGCACTGTGCGCGCTGTGCTAGTTCATTGATTCTTCCTGTCAGCAAGTATCTGCTTGCCTGTATGGGATGTATGAGGAAGCAGATACACTGACAGTGTGCAGGAGACCTGCATGGCATCAGTGATCTGTCAAGATACAGAACTCAGTACAAACAGGTGTAGTGGAGCTGCTACCTTCCTTCCCTCAGCTCCACATGGTGCTCAGACGTAAAAGCTGCTGCTGCCTCTGTGTACTGTAAACCACTGGAGGAACAGTCGGAACTTGGGTAAATGTCAAATGGTGGTATCCTTTATTAAAATGACATGAAATAGCTGTAAAACAACCAACGCGTTTCATACATCAGACTTTAGCCATGGCTAAGGCCTGCTGGTTGAAATGCATTGACTGTTTTACTGCTGTTTCATATCATTTCAATAAAGGACACTGCCATTTGACGTTTACCCAAGTGCTGACTGTCCCTCCAGTGTTTCACAGAACTCAATATGCAGATAGTAACAATACACTATTAAAAAGCCCTTAAAATCTGAAAAACCAACTGTTATCATTATCCAACAGATACACTTCATATCCCCTCTGTCCATTCAGGAGTTCAGATAATACAAGCTTCTATTCTGGATTTTTAGGGATGAGCTGCACACATCTTTAGAGTTTTGTGAAAAACTGTACCTATCATAAAGTGTTTCCGGGTAAAATAAAATTTCAGATGTATTTCACCTATTCTAGGTTTATTATATTTTTAGCTGACTATCTTGACGGTTTATAACATCTGCTGATTTTTAATATTGGATGGGTAATGTATCTATTTATTTTAGAGCTTGATTATTTGCTTTCTCAATGTTTCAAATAAGCACAAAGAAAATTTAATATTGAAATCAATATCTGTAGAAACACCACATCATAGAGGGATGGTTCATGAAGCATTGAACTGAAGCTTCAATATCTTCTATACCACACCAGTGTATAATACAAACATTTAATTCTTATGTATGTGGTAGGTATTTTAGGAAGAGCAGTGAGGGTTGTTATTAATCTAAATGCAACAATGAATCTCTTGCAGCTGACAGACTGAAGGAGAGCGAGTGTCAAGGCTCATCATGTAGAGCCTTTCCTTTAATTATCCTGTTTACATTTGACCTGTCACCTAATCGTAAGTTAGAAGTTAAAAATTAAACGATCATTTATGCCATTAAACATAAGTTTAAACATCAGTCAATAGTCAAAGGCAGGGCTTTACTTCAGCGGGAACGCAGTTCTGGCACCTCCAGCACTGGATGTATGTAATGGCAAGGTGTGCTGGAGGGTCTATTGATGCTTGCTGCTAGGGGATCTATTATTGCTGGAGGGGATCTATTATTGAGTGGGGGGTCTATTGTTGGTGGTGATCTGTTGTTACTAGGGGGGTCTTATCTTTCAGGGGGATCATTTGTTGCTGGGAGAGATCTACTGTTGAGGGAGGGGTATATTATTGCTGGCTGCTGGGGGGTTTAGAGATTTGATGTTGCTGCTGGGGGGATCTATTGTTGCCGGGGTGTCTATTGTTGCTGGCTGCAGGGGATCTATTTTACTGCTTTATCTTTGACAAATTCAAAAATTACAGAACCAAGTATTACATTGTTGTGCTAAGTATTCTCTAAAAGGGCACAGTACTGGGAGGTGGGTAGGAGGTAGAACCAAGGGACGGAGACAGGGGGGACTCAGAAGGTGGCAGTTCTTGCATCTATTCTCTGAGAAACAAAACCCCGGTCAAAGGAAAAGAGAAAGTAATGGTCGAAACAAGGACTGACCCTGGAATAAGTCAAATCAATTGAATAAAATTGATTCTAAGCAAATAAATACCTTTTATTTGTTGTTCTGTGATTTACAGAAGCCATTTGCAAGGACTGGGTGAAGTCAAAGCATATTTGAAATCAGCTATGCTAAAACATTCTAATTATTGTTACCATTAATATCTTTTTAGTTCTTTAGTTCTCTCTGGGAGCATATCCCTAGATAATCAACCCATGTCAACATAGATAACTTGAGATGTGGGTTCAGATTTCACGCAGCCCTTGGAAGATAATGAGTTGTAAATCACTGGAATAAACTAGTGTCTGTGAAAATAGTTTACATCAAACCTGGCAAGTATTTTACACTTTTAAAAGTTGTCTAAGAGCATACAGATTTGTACTGTATGTCCTTTATTAGCCAGTTTGTCTTCACTGACTTCAAGACCACCTGCCATCTCTATGTAATGATAATGCCTTTTTTGCCCCTTTAGCTACTGAGGCAAGATTATTGAACAGGGGCATGACAGTTGACAGTGCTTTGTCCTGAAGCTGAGGAAGTCAAGCTATTATAACAATGTAGTGAACATATAAAGCTTTTATGGTCCATAAAAAGTAGTTACAGTATCTGCTCTTAGGCGGGACATTTGCAAGTTAAAATGCCTAACAGGTTTTCTTCAACTCTTTCCTGCAAGAAATATTAAGGTGATACTATACTCTTTTTTATACTTTTACCCACAGGTAAGCTTATAATAAAGCTTACCTGTAGGTAAAATGAATATCTCCTAAACTTGCACTGTTTAGGAGATATTTGCTCTTTTGGAGAACCAACGCATGCGCTCTGAAGGAACAGCCATTCCTTCAGAGGAGTGTGCTGTGGTCCAGGTCTCCTACGCACATGCATGCAGTACATTAAAGATAGAAATCGGCTGTTTGAGTTGTATGTACATACAGAAAGCTGACAGTGTGGCTCCCATGTTCATGTAACCTCAGGAAACTGTTCTTCCATGTCTGCTAAACTATCACCTGACAGGGAAACCTAAGCAATAGACTTTGCGGCAGAAAAAATAATGCAAAAACAGAACAAAGTCTTTGTTTATAGGCACATACTGGATTACTTAAAAAAGTGAAGAAATGCACTCACACTTATATCAAGAAAATTAGCATTTGTCAGTCTAATAGTCCAAAAAGACAATGACAGTTGTAGTCAGCGGATCTCAGACTCAGGGATCGTTAACTCTGAATGATGATGGTAAACAGACAGATAGCGCTGGTAATTACTTCAGAAGGAGTAGCAGTGCTCTTTACACACTGAGATGTAGGATAGTACACACTGAGATAGGATCCTACTGGGTGTAGGATAGTACATTAAAACTCAAACTTTAATAAGGATAGGGTTTAAAGTATTAAAGTACTCACAAAATTGAACTACCTGTGCAGTCTAAGGAAGACCCAGAAGCACTAGTTGAACATGGAAACAGCAGGAGGCAGGGGGAAAAGCTTTTACAAATGGTAGACCTTAAAAATAAGGGGTAAAAGCACTCACAAAAATTTGAGAAGATGAACCTCTAGAACACCAACTCTTTTGTCCCCCAGCTGATTTACTACAGACATTTTATTGATGATATAATCATATTGGACAGTTTCAGTGAACCCACAATTTCATTTCTAGAGCATTATAACACCAATGCAGCTGATCTGCCATTTACCCATTCATCCTCACACACTAATCCACTTAGATCTTAAATTAACATGAAACGAACAAGATCTGCACCAGAAATAATTTCAAGCCCACTGGAAGGAATCCCAAACTGCATTTTAAAAACAGTCTTCATCCCCTGGGGCAGAAAAATGTACCCAAGGGGCAGTTTTGTAGATTCAACAAGAAGTGCAGTAAAAAAAAACTTAAATCACAGATGCAAAAATAAAAAATGATATAGTTCTAAGTAACATACAGTTCATTAACCAGTTTATTCATAACTAAAGAGAAATAAAGCAGGTTATGAAAAGAAACTGGCACCTGTTACTACAGTAGCCTTAAATTAGGTTCCATTTTGCCCACAGAGACAAAAAAAACCTTTTGACAAAATCATACAATATTAAAAACATAATAGACTCAATCAAGATATCACAGCACAAACAGAAACCATTACAGAACTTGTTTCGCTTGACAACATAATAGGAATTTATCAATGCAAAAAAATGAAAATGTAATACATGTGAGTCTATTCAGCATGGCCAAGACAACTTAAAGGATAGCTCACGCCATATTCATCTGATTAATCAATGTGTTACTGGTTCAGATGAGTATGTAGTATATATACTTTCCTGCCCTTGCGGCCTCTTATATGTAGGGTGCACAATAAGACATCTACAAAAAGAATTCGATAACACTGCAGATTTATAGAAAAATGATCCTTGTGTCTCAGTGTCTCCCAACACTTTGCATACAAAATTATTACATGCATTGAAAGGTTAAAATATCTGCTATTTAGGCTATTTTGTCCCTAGGCTAAAAGGTTTTTGTATACTCTGCAGTCAAAAAAACCCCCACTATTGTCACCAACCAGAACTGTATCTACCATCTTTCAAATACCTTGCCATTTTATATATATATTAGATGATCCTAGGTTAATATTGGTTGATCACACTAAATGTATTTATTTATAACATGACTTTTTTAATTTCCAGTTTCCAGGGGCATCCGTCAGGTATGGTAAATGCATAATTACATTGGACCGAGCTAAACCAATGTAACTATGTATAAAATATCCATACCTGGATTAATAAAAGTTTAGAAAAAAAAAAACTATTTTTCTTAGTTTTGGATAAAATGTGAATGGATTGGAACCTCTTTTGGGTTTGTCTTGATTTGTAGGGCCAAGTTAGTTGTATTTACCCTCACTTCCCAACCTGCATATCTTTTTACCAGACATGAAGTGGGGGAAAACTCACTGACAGCATCACAGACAGAAATAAAAATGCTATTTATAAGTAAAGTGATTAGCGGCTAGAACCCCTGTTATATTTTGGGGTTATTTACTGAAACTGAAGGTGTACAATCTGGTGCAGTGCTGCATAGAAACCAATCAGCTTCCAGGTTTTATTGCAAAGCCTAATTGGATGCTGAAGTTAGAAGCTGATTGGTTTCTATGCGGAGCTGCACCAGATTTTGCACTCTCCAGTTTTAGTAAAACTCCCCCTTTAACCACATGCCGCCCAGCCCATGTATAAATATGGCGGCAGGGCGGCATGGGCAGGCAAAACCATGTTTTAAAACGTGTGTTTTGTAAACAGGTAGGGGGTGCGCGTGAGGCGCGCCGCCGCCCTACCTGTCCCGCTGATCACAGTCGCGGATGTCAGTCGCCGGGTCACAGCCGGTTCTTACCGGCTATCTCCCGGCGATCGGCGGCAATCAGTGACAGAGAGCATAGCTGCAGTAGCTGTGCTTTCTGTCACTTCCCTGACAGCTCGAGGACAAGCTGATCGGGACAGAAGAGTTTCTCTCTCCCGATCAGCCTGTCCCCATCCAGTACACACCCCCTAGTAAAACACTCCCCTCACACAGATAACCCTTCCTTGAAAAATAAAGTTAACCCCTTCCTCCCCAGTGCCATTAGTACAGTGTCAGTGTTTTTTTTTTTTTGCACTGATCACTGTATTGGTGTCACTGGGGATGTCACTGACCCCAAGTCAGTACCCCCCAATGTCAGAATGTCCGCCGCAGTCCCGCCATAAGTCACTGATCTCTGCATAAGTCACTGATCGCCGCCATAAGTCGCTGATCGCCACCATTATTAGTATAAAAAAAAAACTAAAAATCCCAGTATCTTCATGTAAACCAATTAATTTACACGTATTGGGGTTTTTTTTTTCAGCAAAGACATGTCGCAGAATGCATTTTTGGCAGAAAGTTATGACTAAATTTGATTTTTTACATTTTTTTTTTACTGGGCATTTTTTATAGCAAAAAGTCCAAAATATAGTTTTTTTTTCCTCAAAATTGTCAGCCTTTTTTTTTATAGTGCAAAAAATAAAAACCGCACGGGCGATCAAATACCGCCGAAAGAAAGCTCAATTTGTGGGAAAAAAAAAGGATGTAAATTTAATTTATGTACCGAATTGCATGACTGCGCAATTGTCCGTTAAACTAGCGCAGCGCTGTATAGCAGAAAAATGGCGTAAATTGCAGTATTTATACCATAGTTTGTAGACGCTATAACTTTCACACAAAGCAATCAATATACAGTTATTGGGATTTTTTTTTTACCAAAAACATGTAGCAGAATACATTTTGGCCTAAATTTATAACCAACTTTGAGTTTACTATACTATATTTTTTATGGCTGAAAGTAAAAAATATTGTGTTTCTTCAAAATTTTTGGCCTTTTTTTGTTTATAAGCGTGAACAGGTGATCAAATACCACCGACAGAAAGCTCTATTTGTGTGAAAAAAAGGACGTAAATTTCGTTTGGGTGCAGAATTGCATGACCGTGCAATTATCAGTTGAATTAGTGCAGTGCCGAGTAGCAAAAAGAGGCCTGGTCATTAATGGGGGTAAATCCGCTGGAGGTCAAGTGGTTAAAGAAGCAAAAGAACAAAAAGGGGCACCAAGGAGATGACCAGATGTTATAAAGGTGACTGAAACTGTCACGAGAAAGACTGGCTCTGGTCCAGAGCACTATACAAAGCAACAGAGGAGGGACCTAGAGTTGAGAATGCACATACATAAAATCCAATGAGAACACCAAACAAATGTGCAAGAGTCCAAGGTATTTATTGGCAAGATTGATTCATAGCAGCACATTTCAGGGTCCAAACACTGTCCCATTTACCAGGGTTTAGGAATATTGATTGTTCTTAAACTGTCTCAGGTAATCAAATTCCAAAAAGATCTGCACTATGATTTACTGCTTGGTGCAATGTCAGGAGAGCAGGTTAAGCCTTACAAAAAGATTTGGGAAGGATATGACACTAAACTGAAATGCAAGAGTTGTTTCTAGATTAATGTATTCCAGGCTACGCCTATTTTGTTTGGATTAGTTGCTTATCCTTGCTAAATACATTTTTACTCTAGTTGAGCAGATCAGAGACATTAACTATATAGATTAGCACATACGCATGTTTGTTTTATAGGTAGATGAAACATATACATACTGCTTTTACAATACATGTGCAGGCAATATAATGCTCTATACAATTGAGCACATCATATGTAAATTTAAACTCACAAAATTTTAGAAATGTCAAGAATGCCACATATTGTTGATGTTAAACAAAGAGACACATGTAAGCCTTATCAAAAATCTTTTAGATAGAATATACTTTTACAGACAACTCATTGTTTAATATTGAGCATGACAAAATTGGACCAAATCAGAGGTCCATAAAAAATACAATCTCAAGCTTACAGTTTTTAATATTTGTCCTAATAATCGCAATTAATTAAAGGCATTTTCAAATTCAGTTATATTTTCTCTGCAACAAGGTTATATTCTGAAGTAAATTTTTTTTATTGTCCTTTATAGCCAATCCAATTATTCCTTTTTTCCAAAATAGTAAAAGCAGGTTTCTACTTGAGTGCAATAAGATGCAAGAACACTATACTGTACTTCAGAAGTTATATATCATATCTTTTGCTCCATAAGACGCACCTAGATTTTAGAAGAAAACAAGAAAAAAAAAAAAAATCTAAACAGATGGACTGCAGACATAGAACAGGAGATAACCAGAGACTGCAGACAGTACAGAGATGACCAGAGACTGCGGACATAGTACAGGGATGATGACTGCGGACATAGTACAGGAGATGACCAGAGACTGCAGACACAGTACACGGAATGACCAGAGACTGCGGACACAGTACAGGGAATGACCAGAGACTGCAGACACAGTACAGGAGATGACCAGAGACTGCGGACACAGTACAGGGAATGACCAGAGACTGCGGACACAGTACAGGGAATGACCAGAGACTGCAGACACAGTACAGGAGATGATCATAGACTGCAGACACAGTACAGGAGATGACCAGAGACTGCGGACACTGTACAGGAGATGACCAGAGACTGCGGACATAGTACAGGAGATGACCAGAGACTGCGGACATAGTACAGGAGATGACCAGAGACTGCGGACACAGACAGGAGATGACCAGAGACTGCGGACACTGTACAGGAGATGACCAGAGACTGCGGACATAGTACAGGAGATGACCAGAGACTGCGGACATAGTACAGGAGATGACCAGAGACTGCGGACACAGTACAGGAAATGGCCAGAGACTGCGGACATAGTACAGGAGATGACCAGTGACTGCGGACATAGTACAGGAGATGACCAGAGACTGCAGACACAGTACAGGAGATGACCAGAGACTGCAGAACTTTGGGGAGGGGGGGCGGGTACCCGAATTAGAAAGGTACCCGATCCCACTTCTGCAGAGTTGTCCTCCCCATATTCTTGTGGGACACATGACAGGTCCCAGAAGACTACAGTTGGCCATTCACAAATTGCAGCACTTCTAGCACATGCACAGTGGGCACCCGGCTGAGAAGCCACAATCAGTCACAGCCATGTGCCTACACTGAAGATTCCGGCACCAGGGAGAGAAGATGGCCGGTAAAAGCAGGACACTGATGGACTGAGGTACGGGTAGGACCAAGGAGCAGGTTCTTCTGCATAGTAGAGCCGAGAGACTGGCCCGGTATTCCAACACGGCAGCGGCGGCTACGGGGGGGGGGGGGGAATACCAGGCCCACCGCTCCATAAGACGCACAGACATTTTCTACCATTTTTTGGGGGGAAAAAAAGGTGTGTCTTATGGAGCGAAAAATATGGTAATCATAATATATGACATAATCATGTCACACGGGACAGAATCTGTTTTGCTCAGCAGAGAATCTGTCCACTGAACCCCTGCTGACCACAGCAGAACTGTCAGATGACAGGTTCATGTCCACTCAGTTTATTCAGAGTGAAGAAATACAAAGCCAGCTCTACAATATTGGTGGTCAGGTGTAAACAGACTCTGCTACATGTTTCCACCTATCTGCCCTCTAATCTAATCCGCCTAGACAGAAGAGAACGGATCTGCTTGTTTTTTTTAGCGGATCAGATTGGATATTGGCGGGTGTAAACAGACATTTACACCCTCTGGTCCATAGGAATACATAGACCATCCCATCAGGTCCACTTGAAAAAATGACAGACAGACCTGATCAGATTGTCCGTGTGAAAGGGGCCTTATGTTACAGAAAAAATACTCTAAGGACCTATTCACAGCATCCATGATGCAGTAATGACCTTTGATGATGAACTTTTATTTGCTTCAGAACTGCTTTACTCCCAATACAAAGCTAGAGGAATGTAAAAGCAGCTGCAGAACATTTAATACACTTGGAACACATTTTGACTAATCTTAGATATGTCTTAAGCTGATCAAAAGTACACTGTATTTGTCCATCGAAGCCTGCCTTCATTACCTGGGACCACAATCCACATCAACAGTTAGGTGCGTTAGTGTGCTGGCATGCAATTCAGTATGTTGGTGTCCTGTGTAGTATACCCTGCACCTTTTTTGTGCATTGTTGCCTATTTTGAATAGGCTGCCTATCATAGTATAAAACAATATGCCTCAATGCAGAAAAGCAAGTGTGTTGCAGTGCATGCATTCTGGTGTGATCTAAGCAGAAAAAACACAGATGTGCTTGATTCATACAATTTCAGGTTACTGTAGTCAGATCAGAAAAAAGATTATTTCTGTTTGTCTATTAGAGCTTACTGCAATGTGCACATCCTTGATGTTAATGAATACAGCTGTAATTTTTTTTTAACAGTTTAGAGAATAGCTATTTTGTGTAATTGGAAGTAAAATATAGATATCATTTTCCCAGAAATACTGCGTTCCTGGAAATGCTTTAGATTAAAGCACACTTCAAACATATTGTTTGCATTTTATTTCACATCTGGATTAAGTGTTTTAGGGGAGTAACATAAGAAATCCTGCATGTGTCAAAAAGGAAATTTTACGTATATAACAAGGGAACTCTCCCAGGAGACCTTTAAACAACTGCTTGTCTTTCAAGACACTTTCCATATTCATCACAGCCTTTAAAATTGACCCATCATTGAGAAATTATTAGGGACAGGTTTATATAAAAAAGAGTTTTAGCACATCTGCCAGCCAGAAGATAAAAACTGCTGGGGGACTTCTGATATAGCACGCAAAGAGGTAATGAATAAGGAATGGATAGTAATTGTTTTTGAGGATAAACAGTGTAATGCATTGTTAGCATACTATATAGCGCAAGTAAGGAAAAATAAAATAATACAAAGAATCCAGCAAATGAAGGCCTGAGGTATCATACATTTAATGCTTGTGTTTTGTATACAATGTTTGTTACCTACAGTATATGTGCATTTCATTACATGCATTCCAAGAATTTACATGTGTTTATGCAAGCAAAAGCTTAAAACAGCTTCAAGAACAGGAAAATGCTGCAAGAATATATGGTAAAAAGAGATGCATCATAGGAAATTATTTTATTTTATCCTACATTACAAACATGTTTGAACACATATACCATACTATGCAAAAGTTTTAGACAGGTGTGAAGAAATAGAAACATAGAAAAGTAACCGCCGAAAAAGACAGAGTGGTCCATTGAGTCTGCCCTTTGTTTTGGGGGGGGGGGGGTTGGGTTGTTTTCTTTGTTTGTCTTGGGTGGGGTTTTTTGGTTTGTTTTGTTTTTTGGGTTAACTTTTTTTTCTGAGTATAAATCTATGCTTGTCCCACTCATGTTTGAAGCTATTTACTGTTGACTGGTAAACGAAATGCTGTAAACTAAAGTAAGAGTGCTTTCAAAAATATATATTTTAATTGTTTATTTTTATCAAATTACAAAATGCAAAGTGAGCAAATAGAAGAAAAATCTAAATCAAATCAATATTTGCTGTGACTTTCCTTTATCTTTAAACCAGTATCAATTCTTATACTTGCACACTTTGGACACTTGCACAAAGTCAGGGATTTTGTAGGATTAGAGTCAGGTGTATATTTAACCAGTTCAAGTTCGGACACTTTCACCCCCTTCCAGTCCAGGCGAATTTTCAGCTTTCAGCACTATCACACTTTGAGTGACATTTATTCAGTCATGAAACACTGTACCCATATGAAATGTGTATCTTTTTTTCAGACAGAGAGCTTTCTTTTTGTGGTATTTGATCACCACTGGGATTTTTATTTTTTGATATATAAATTAAAAATACAGAACATTTTGAAAAAAAAATCTTTTTTGCTTAGTTTTTGTTATACAATTTTGCAAATAAATAATTTGTCTTCATAAATTTAGGCCAAAATGTATTTTGCTACATTTTTGGGGTAAAAATAACCCAAAACAGTGTATATTATTTAGTCTGTGTGAAAGCTAAAGAGTCCATGGGATATATATTTGAAAACTGATCAATTGAGACCCTAAAATGACGGACGCTGGTCTGACATATGGCAGTGATCAGGACACTGGTATGTGGCTATGGTGGTGATCAGGATGTTAGCACGAGGTATGGAGGGGATCAGGACACTGGTATGGCAGTAGTCAGGACACTTTTATGGGGTATGGGGTAATCAGGATGCTGGTATGGATTATGGCAGTAATCAGGATGCTGGTATGGATTATCGCGGTGATCAGGATACTGGTATGAGGTATGCCGGTGATAAGGACACTAGTATGACATATGGGGGTGATCAGGATGCTGGTATGGTGTATGGCTGTGACCAGGATGCTGGTATGGCGTATGGCTGTGACCAGGATGCTGGTATGGGGTATGGCGGTGATCAGGTTGCTGCTATGGGGTATGTCAGTGATCAGCATGCTGGTATGGGGTATGGTGGTAAACAGAATGCTGATATGGGGTATTGCAGTGATCAGGGCAGTGTTATAAATATTTAAAACATTACATTTTGAAGATACAAAACAAATTAAACTAGATAAAGTGGCTGAATACATCTTACAGATTGAACATATTGATACATGTACACATGTCCTCCCTTGGACAATGGGGAGGCAATATTAATTCAGCAAAACACCAAATGAATTTCAGAACATCTTTAATTCTTTCATCAGGGGTAGGCTGAAGAGAAATGATGACTGGATCACCCTTCATCCAGGATGTATATTGATCTGTATGGTGCCACCAAGGAAAAAATTGCCTGAATTGCTATCTACTGATACCACCAGGTGAGGAAATTGTGCCGGATACGCCAGATGAAACAGGTCACAGAAATCTCACACTAGGGTCCCCCCATAATTGGCAAACCACACCTGAGGTCTCACCTAATGTGCAAAAAAGCCCCCCATTCCTGGGGAGAGAAGTTCCTCCTGTCCATGTAAGTGGTGCCAATAGATAGCATTATCTGAAACAGAAATAGCTGTATAGAAATTAAAACTGTGTGAGGAAAAGACACTCTGCTACTAAAGTGAGGTTTTGGAAGATAGTTTCATGTCACAAGAAATATACTATGGCAAGACTGAGCACAACAACAAGAGCCTGGGGTTTCATGAGGTGTTATTCAAGCTCTTTTGAAGAAACACAAAGAAACTGGCAATGCTGAGGACCGTAGATGCAGTGGTCAGCCAAGGAACTTAATGCAGCAGATGAAAGACACGTCAACACAGAACTGTTGGAAACCAGTGGGACCCAGGTACACCCATCTACTGTGTCTGGCCAGAACAGGTCTTCATGGAAGAACTGTGGCCAAAAAACCATACCTCCTACGTGGAAACAAAGCTAAACAACTCAACTATGCATAAAAACATAGGAACTGGGAAGCAGAAAAATAGCAGCATTTGGGACTGATGAGTAAAAATTTTACATATTTGGATGTAGCAGGAGGCAATTTGCTTGCCCAAAGGCTGGAGAATAGTGTTGGGCTGAATGTTCAAGTCGATGTACCATGTACCGTGTACCGTGTACCATGTACCGCATCGTCATTCACATGGTGGGGGGCCAGGATCTGCGGGTCCCCTTGTTAAAACCCACAACCACAGCCCAGGGTTGTGGGGAAGAGGCCCTTGTCCCCATCAACATGGGGACAAGGTGCTTTGGGGGGGTAGCCCCCCTGCCCCAAAGCACCCCCCCATGTTGAGGGTATGTGGCCTGATATGTTTAAGGAGGGGAAAGCGCTTGCTTGTCCACTCCTTCCTGACCTGCCGGGGTGCATGCTCGGAGGAGGGTCTAGTATGGATTTTGAGAGGGACCCCACACCATTTTTAAAAAAATTTGGGCGTGGGGGTTCCCCACAAAATCTATACCAGACCCGAAGGGCTTGGTATGGATGGAAAGGGGGACCCCATGTGGTTTTGTTTTTAAAAAATTTAATTCTCGGGCAATGCCGACAATTCTTTTTATATTCAGCTGTCAGCAGGGAACCCCGCTGACAGCTGAAACAATAATGAATGTATCACTACTAAAATACCGCATGATTTAATAATATAACTCATGCAGTATTTTAGTAACTGAGTGGTATCTTAACGCATACTCAGATGCGGTAAGATACCGCTCAGTAAATTGTTTGTGTTCATGTAGGTTAGAATGGTCAACCACAAACCGAACAGAGGGGTGCTCAGCCTATCACTACTGGAGAAAGGTACAATAATGAGTGTCTGCAGGTAACAGTGAGTTTGGGGCTGCATTTCTGCTAATGGAATTTTGGTCAGGATCAATGATGTCCTCAATGCTGAGAAATAAAGGCAGATACTTATCCATCACACCACCAGGGAGATGT